CAAGTTCAATCTCTTTTAGGTTGGATTTGTACCTTCATCCCCGAACCCTTATTTGGTTCAAGACCTTATGGAGTTGACGATTTCTTGGATCGTTAAGGGGTGTAACCTTCACCCTGTGAACGGTTTACAAGTTCCTAAAATTTGTTGGCGACTCTTTTGCTTTATCTTCTTCCCTTTTGGACGCCACCGTACTTTAGTGTATGATCACAGTGGGGGGTTCAAGCTAGGGGGATTAACGCTTAAAATTATTCCCTACTACAGGTTTAGGGTTAATCCTAATGATTACATGTTAGTCAAAAAGCGCACATGAATACGATCAGAATAAAGTAGAGGCCTATTATTAGGGTAGGTTAAATCTCTTTTAGATTGGATTTGTACCTTCATCCCCGAACTACCAGTCATGGTTCCAGACCTATTGGAGTTGACGATCTCTTGGATCGTTAAGGGGTGTAACTTTCACCTCGTGAACGGTTTACAAGTTCCTAAAACTTGTTGGAGACTCTTTTGCTCTAGCTTCCTTCCCTTTGGACGCCACCATGCTTTAGTGTATGATCACAGTGGGTTCAAGTTTGGGGTAATGCTTGAAATATTCCCTACAGGGTGACTCAAGTTGCCAGGGTTTACTCGAGTTTCTTTGTAACACCTTAGAAATTTCTTTCCTTTAAAATACATGTTTTGCCCATTTTAAAATACGAAGTAGGAAAATCTAAGACAAAACCGCCACCGTGAAAACAGCTAAGGCAATTATCAAAGACACACATTAATAGACTTTTTAAAACCATTCAAAATAAGTTTACTTTAAAGTCAAACCCAACGGAATTAAAGTCAAACCAAAGTCAAACGAAGTCAATCAAAATCAACCTACAACTTGGAACCGTTGAAGGCCCTTATTAAAACCCGAGTGATACCAAAAACTTTTCATGAGTCTGCAAGCTTAATAAATAAAATAATAATAAATCAATAAAACACATCATATTCCTTCACTCATGCCCATAATGAATATGTTTTATCACCTAAAAAGCTTTTCTCTACTTGTCCCCACTACTTGCCATTAGAATTGGGTCATCATAGGGCCAAGGTAAAGACAAGGCCAAACAAACATACAAACACGCAATTAGCAAAGCTAAGTACATAAGCGTAATAAAACACATTAACATGCTTTTATTTTATCGATCACACAACTTACCTTAGCTTGTTGCACCTGTAACCAAGCATTCAACATTTAGCTAGACAAATACCAATGTCCATTTAATTTGATTACACATCGAACAATTTTCCAATCAAATCCATGCCCCAAATAAATTGAGGTAAACTACACCGGGAGCTATCTAGGTAGGCAAATGTCACATGAAGTGGCGGACGTCCTGCGCATAATAATAATAATAATAATAATAATAATAATAATAATAATAATAATAATAATAATAATAATAATAATAATAATAATAATAATAATAATAATAATAATAATAATAATAATAATAATAATAATAATAATAATAATAATAATAATAATAATAATAATAATAATAATAATAATAATAATAAAGGAAAATACAACGTCCTATATTCCCATTAAAAGTTATGGTCGGATATAAAAACCCATAACTCCCTCCCATATGTTCATACTTGAGGTATATATATACGATCTAAGAGTTTTGGTGCATAATCTCTTTGACTTTACGTTGTTTTACATATTATTCAATTTGGTGATGACTCTCAAACCATAATGATGGGTGTCATAAATGGCACCCATTTGATGAGCATTTAGGTTGTTTTCTTCCTCTTTTCATAGCTTTCATGCTAAATAGTTTTATGCATTTGATCTTCGTTTTACCTTTCCTCTCTTATTTTGTAGCTTTTGTGCATTTTGTTGGGTTTTCTACACTTTTCTCCTTTATTTGCTTTATTTTCGTGGTTGTAGGTATTGTACGAGGTCCGGGTCGTGATATTGGTGATTTACTAAGGTGGAAGATGCTTTTGGAGCAAGCTCATGGCAATTGGAAAGCTCAAGATGTAAGGAAGTGGATTCTCCAAGTTCTAGCTCTTGTGCTCTCAAGCTGTGCTCTCATGAAGATGGGGTGTTGAACTCACTGTCAAGTGCTTTTTGGGACTGCCACTCTAAGTGTTCATCATCATCATATTGCGCGTTCACTCGAAGACCTTAGCAAACGCACGAAGTCGCGAGAAGATCCGAAGAAACCTAGAAGAACGCGGGCACGCAGGCTTGCTGTGCGGGTGCGCACCGTCGCTAAGTTGTAGATTGAGTTGATTTGTGAAGTTCCTATATCCTAGGGTTGAGACTAGGTCGTTGGACTAATCTTCCCTAGGACAAACAAAATTTTGAACAAGGGTTGAGACTAGGTCCTTGGACTAATCTTCATGTCGATTGAGTTGGTTTATGTAGTTCCTAGCTAGACTCTCTCGTAGTTGGCGCTAGTTTGACCTCTAGGAGATTAGCCTACCATACTCTCTTGATTGCTTAATTGATTTTCCCTCGCAACACTGGACTTAGTCAATTCCAATCCCAATTATAGTTGTATCCATTGCAAGTATATGTGGATCCTAAACCCTAGTGTTTGATATATTTGATTCCATTTTAATTGTTTGATTGTTTTAGAATTTACACACCTTACTTCATTTCTTCGAGATAGCTTAGCTTTAGCATTAGCATTCACCTCACATTCCTAGTGGTTCGACCCTCGACTTACTCCTATGCTAGTTATAAGGGTGTATTGAGTGATTACAATCATCAATCAAACTTCACCAATCAACAAAACAATTGAAATCATAAGCTAAAGATTGAACTTCAATCATCAATCAATCTTTAGCTTATGATTTCAATTGTTTTCTTGCTAGGGTAATGGTGAAGCATATATGAGTAATGGTTTGATGTTAATTGGGGGAAATTGATGGAGTTGATGTAGTGATTAAATTGATTGATTGATTAAGTGCATGTGTGTGATTAATTGAAGAGTAGCTAACTTTGATTGTTGCACTAGATTGCATTGTAAGTTCACATTGATACGGACAATTGATTTGTGGCTTGCATTTGTCGATTGAGTTGGTTTGTGAAGTTCCTAGCTAGAGTCTCTCGTGGTTGGCGCTAGTTTGACCTCTAGGAGATTAGCCTACCATACTCTCTTGATTGCTTAATTGATTTTCCCTCGAAACACTCGACTTAGTCAATTCCAATCCCAATTAGTTGTATCCATCACTAGTAGAAAAAGTGCTATTTGTGACTGGAGAAATTGACTTTTTGTAACTGGCATTGTTGGTTGCGAATGCCACCGTTACAACTAGTGAAATTTTTTCGTAACCGGCTCATGTTAGTTACAAATAATGTATTATTCGTAACTAGCATAACCCAACGCCAGTTACAAAAAGTCTATTTTCCAAGTAAGAAATCACACTATTTGTAACTGGCATTAAGTTACGTCGGTTACAATAAGGGTATTATTCGTAACTAGCATAACCCAACGCCAGTTACAAAAAGTCTATTTTCCAAGTAAAAAAGTACACTATTTGTAACTGGCATTAAGTTACGTCGGTTACAATAAGGGTATTATTAATAACTGGCAAATCATAACGCCAGTTACGAATATTTTTTTTATTTTTTTAAAAAAAATACTATTAGTAACTAGCACTAGATTACGCCAGTTACTAATATATGTATATATATATATATATATATATATATATATATATATTTGATTCGAATACAAAAATGGTAGTATATCCTACCAAATGACCCATCGTTAGATGGGTTATAACCTGTTACAATTCAACCAACAAAACACGTACTACGAATACTTCCATACAATACAAACACTCTAAATAATTCCGCACAACTCGAATTATTCATCCATAACCATACAATATAAAAAAATTAATTATACTTTAATTTCCAAAAAAATAATTAAACTTGAATTAAAAAAGCATTGATTTATAATTTAGAAATGTAATAACAATAACCAATAGGCTAAATAAAATTAAAGTAGATATATAAAAATGTGTTATATCATTTTATTAAGCTAAATGCGATAATTCATAACATCGGTTAATAAGATAACTAGTCTTTCAACAACAAATTAAGCCTAAAAAACTTAGCCCATTGTTCTCGAATCTCATCCAATTCTACATCGTTGTAGGATGCAAGTCTTGCCAAATACTCCTGGAAAAAAAAATACTTGTTGTTTGGGGTAATTTTACCCTGAAACGTGGAACACGTGGTCCAGTCAGAGTGATGTTACACGTGTCACCTTAGGGTTAGTCCAAATAGGACCAATCCTTGTTTGACACGTGTCCTCCCAAGGAAATGGAAAAAGGCGGCCTTCATGGCCCAAATCCCGAGAAAGCCGCAATGCGGCGCAGCCCACCAATGATTAGGGCTTGATGACCTAATTAGGGGCACAATTCCCAAGGACCCTATAAATAGGGAGATTTCCTCCTTTTGAAGGCACGTTTTACCATTTATTACACATTTACTCTTTGATAGGGACATCCTGAGCTTGGAATCCGAGCAAATCTCCACCTAAATTTCCGCATGTTTTTACTCCTATTCAAGTTACTAACTTGATCGTCGGAGGCGGAGCTCCAACCACCTGGGGTCTCCGTTGTTTTGCAGGTGCAGCTCACGCGTGGACCAGACTTTGTGACGTAACTCTCCCAAGGACAAAAACACCCAAAACACGTGTATATATATTATACTTTATAAAAATAAAACATCAACCAAAACTCGTAATATATCTCATCACCAACCTCTTTCATATTACCCTTGCAATCGCTATGGAAAGATACTATCTCATACATATATCTCATCACATAATAAGCACATTCGGTACCACCTCATTGTTGAGCACACTAATTCAAATGAACATAGTACAATTATTTAATATATTAAATAATACTTTCATTACTAATAGAACGAAAAAGCAAAAATTATACGCTTACCTCCATTCTTATGTGTAGTAATTGTGGCTTACTCGTTTTGAAAGCATTTTCCTTTAAGGTGTGACCTATATACATTGTAAGGACTAAAAAAAAATCATAAAAATCATTAGATTAAATGAATGAAAAATAAATTTTAATCACATGCATATGCATACGTAGTACTAGGAATGTTGTGTACTAACATCTTCATTACTTTGGACAACTCTGAGTTTCGAGCGTTCGGAGGTGATTGAATAACAGAATCAAACTCATACGCAAATCAATCACATAGAGTACCCAATGATTCCTACATTTCAATAAATTTGTTTGTATTATTCACATAATTAAAATAATAAAATTATGAAAAAGTAAAGATTTCAAGGATCAGTAGTACATACGCTTCCATATATGGAGCCAAAATGAATTTGCATTGTGCATCCTTTTTCCTTAATTCAGTAAGAAAAACATTTTTCAAATACATTTGGACTTCAAGGAAATCTTTCTTGATTTCAGCTGCATAAAATTTTTTGGGGGCACAAGAATTTAATTTTATTCTTCTGAAATAATGAGATATGCTCTTCAATTAAGTATCTGCATTTTACAGAAAAAATAAATAATTAGTATAATAAATGGATCTAATAAAATATATTTCATAGTAAAACAAATTCAAATAACTTAAATGAATGTTAGTATTTACAATATGTAGACATGGATTAATGAAATATTAGCCCATGCTCCTCGTAGTAATTCAGAGACATCATCACTAGTATCATAAATTTGTGTGTCTTCCTTTTGATAAAACAATGGAGCCTTCAATGGAATTGTCATAGTATCATAATCTAACACTTCCTGAAGTCATGCAATAATACAACATAGAACACTGTGCACCAAGACTCTCAACAATATTTTTCGGAATAGTTATGCCTTTGCCTTTAATAGTTGAATGCTCTGAGTTGAACTATTAACTTTCTCTTTGGTTTGCACCAATTCATTATCCTCTTTTTTGCCAAAGTCATAACCTTCAAAAAAAGATAAATATTAATATAATTCAGTTACAAATATCTTAGATCATTACATAGCATATCAATGAATTACCTCATTAGTAAAGAAGACTAAATCTGCCGGCCACCCCAAAAAATAACCTTTCGCCTCATCCAACTTGGTGATACCGTCATCAGTCTCTTCTAGGAGATTTAGGTGAGAATAATCACTGTAAACATGGTCAACACTAACTATATAGATGTCACGGTTCATTTTCTTGTTATGAATCACTCCACTAGGACAAGGTTCTGCCGCTCCATCGGCCACAATCACTGAGTTCCCACTAAACTCATCAACTAAAGCAAGATGACATTTAGTTGGGACCTACATAATTGATCATGTCCTAAGAAACATGAAAGCATAATCTACAGTTAACAACTAACAAGTATGAGAAATAAAAGCAGGTAAGATTCTTTGTACAAAAACTGATTTTTTGTTAAATTGACCTCTAGCAAATGGGTTTTGGGAGGAACATATGGGTCAGGCAGGGGGGAAGGGGGCAGGGGTACTTAATGGACAACCTCCGCAAAATTCATAGTATGATGTATTTGCAGCATATATATATAAATATATATATATATATATATATATATATATATAATATAATATATATATATATATATATATATATATATATATATATATATATATATATATATATATATATATATATATATATATATATATATATATATATATATATATATATATCACAAAGCAAGAGGAACGAATGAAGAAAATCAACACATTTTCAAGGATATCAGTATTTCACATATACTTCCCCTATATAAAATCAAAACCCATGTGTTTATATGTTGGTATGTGAATACAAAGATATGCCAGCCAAAACTCACACTCAAACAACCCATATCAATTAGTGAAAGTACCTCCAATTTAAACTTTGAAATCAAAGTAACACAATACAATCTCCTATTGTCACAAACCAGATATGTAACAGGCCAATTTACAACTACATTGATAGACAAAAAGAGATTATTAATTGTCACTCATATGATCAGAATTTGTGATCATCTAGAGAGCACGTCTAACATACACCTGGCTAATATCATGCCAAACTTAAAATAAATTATTTTGGGAAAACAAAAAAAAGTTAGGTCTATTTTAGACAGAACAGTTGCTACAACAGTTACCACCATTACACCACAACTTGCAACAGACTGCAACTTACAGGTTTGAACTTTGAACTAAGGAAAAAAAGAATCTAAGCTGGCTAATATCATGCCAAAATTAAAATACCCTCATCATGAAATGGCAAACCAGCATAACATGGAAAAATACAGAGTATAAATATTTCATGGAAAAAACAACCCATTTCCCAGCTTATTCTACAACATTAAAGTGAGGATTCTCTTTAGTTACACTATCCTTTAGGCTTTAAATAAAAAAGTATGAACAAAACAACACCAAAATCATACTTGCACAACATTCACATACATAATTATGTACAATATAAAGCTAATATGATCTAAAATGAACAAAACAACACTAGAGGATGTGCTTGAGGTCAGACAGAAGAGAGAAGGGGATACTACAGGGGTGGAGGTCCTGCTTAAGTGGAAAGAGCTCCCTAATTTTGAAGCAACTTGGGAAGACTATGTAATGGAACGAGTCAACGAGGTCAATGGCTCCAAGGAACCAAGTCAGCCACCCCTTTTGGTGTATAGCAGGCGCGCAAAACAGAGACAACAAGGGTCAATTGTGAGAAGCAACAATGAGCAACATGACAAGGTTAATTAAAGAGAAGTGAGGGAAAGTTAGAAGCTTCCTTTAATCATAGATGTTGTGGGTTTCTATTTTAGTTAATCATTGTCACATGTATTATCTAAGTCTTGAGTATAAGTAGTGTAATCTAGCTGTTGGTGAGTTTATCCAGAAATTAGAGAAAACACATGAGAGACTTGTAGCCTAAAGCTACTGTGAGATTCATAACCTCAAGTTATTCTTATCCCTTTTGTAATTCAACCATCAGTAAATTAAATACTCAAGCTTTCAGCCTTAATTTTCTTATTTACAATTAAATTACAATTCCAGTAAATTAATCCATTACAAACTCGGTTCCCTCATTTCCACCTCCAACAGCAAATTCCAGCAACAAAAGGTATGTCAGCATGTAAACCTATCTGCAAAATATATCAATCAACCATAGGATTAGTCTTAAAGATATGTCAGCATGTAAACCTATCTCCAAAATATGTCAATCACACAGATACGCTACAACCTGTGCCATTTCATCCAAGATCATCAAGTGCACACAAGAGGTCACTAAGATGACTTAAATGGCAATATAATGACCTTAGAAAAAAAGCCACAAGGAGCACATCTGTATCAGATTTGGCTAAATAGCATCATTCCAGCAAGAACCCGAAGAAGGGAACATATATTAAAGCTTTGGCACATATGATGGCAAAAGGTGTCATACTAAAGGTCAGCATATAAATGTACTTTGAGAATGAGTGAAATCATAAATCATTTTGCTGTTTTAACACATAAGTTAAATTCTCACAGATATGAATGAAAAAGCTTAGATACAAAATTAAGAAGCTAAAATACAATCCATTGTATGAACAACAAAAGGTCAATACTAAGTTTTATCTTCAATAAATACATCAAATAGTAAGAAAAAGAATACCGCTCCACTAACAAATTCTACAAACAATACCAACCAACTCCACAAACCTAAAATTAAGAAGACTAAACAACGCTGAACAAACTATCCATCTTAACTCAGTTCTGAATTCAGTTCTGAAAGTCAGCTCTGAATTGCGTTCTGATTTTCAATTCTGAATTCAATTATAATTTTCAGTTCTGAATTCAGGTCTGATTTTCAGCTCTGAATTCAGATCTAATTTTCAGCTCTGAATTCAGGTCTGATTTTCAGCTCTGAATTCAGGTCTGGTTTTCAGTTCTGAATTCAGTTCTGGAAGTCGGCTCTAAATTCAATTCTGATTTTCAGTTCTGAATTCAGTTATGATATTCGGCTTTGAATTCAGTTTTGATTATCAATTCTGCATTCAATTCTGAAATTTGACTTTGAATTCAGTTCTGATTATCAATTCTGCATTCATCTCATGTGATAATAAATAAGAGTTCAATCTTAGTCAAATGAAGGTTTACCTCTAACAAGCGAGGACTTAGCTCCATTGGATTGGTTGAGGAAGATGGGGAAGGTTGAGCATCATTTACTTACAAATCATTAGCAGTAATGTGTGGTAAGAAAGCAGAAAGATAAGAATTTACAGCTGTTGCAATGCCTTCCTTTAATTTTTCTTCAAATTCCCGAGTTAAGTTCTCTTTAAATTCATCTAGTTCTTGTAATGAGCAACCACTTTTAGACATGTTTTTACCTTTTACCAGGCCAAATGCTTTTCTATAGCCGACACCAATCCCACATCCACCAAGTCCTTTCACAAATCCACGATGGTCCTTTTTCCCAAATGCCAAAGTAAGGGCATCAACGCCTCGCTCTGATTGTTTACACTCTCCTTCCTCTAATTCCTTTGCTTGTTTTTGCAAGTTCTCTTCCTGTTTGACAAAACATAGAAAAAGTAAATTAGATGACCAGAAATCTGTAATGTCACTAGATTTCGTTGTTTTGATAAACTATGACATACAACTATATTGGCAATTCGAATAGTCTCCGTATCTTTTGGGTCGATGCCCCATGTTCCATCTGGCAACCGCTTTTCATGAGCTAAAACACACTCAAGAGCTCGACGATTAAAAATAGAACCAGTTGATGTACTGCTCTGGGAAGTGTTGCCAGTAGTTGAAGATTCTGCCAGAGCAGGAAATCTATTTTCAAGTCTCTTTTGCTTATTCCAAATATTCCGAGCTCTTTGAAAACTGTTTCGACCCAAGTGATGGCAACATTTGTTTAGCTTTGCATTTTCCTTCCCCTTTTCACTCTTTTCCTGTTTTTTTTTTTTAAAAAAAAAAAAGAAAAGAAAAGAGAGTTAAATATTATCATATTCTTCACAATCAGTTTTTGTTTGATTAATTAACAGTGCATGTTAATATGTAGTTACCTTGAATTATGCTGATTTACTATATATTTCAAATCTCTTCCATTTCTCCTTTGTAAAGTAACCTTCATACACTTCCCATGGCTTCATATTTGCTTTAGGAGAAGTGGCCGGGTATGGGTTTTTAAAAGTGATGAATCGTGCCCTTAAATTCGACTTGTGACAGCTGAATCGCGAAGCCACAACACTATGAAACCTTTTTTGCCTTTCTCCACTTGGATCCTCAATGTGGAACATTCGCTGTGGATTAAAAAAAAAAGTTAACTAATATTTTGAATAGCAACATGACTAACTAGTAAGTGAATAGTTTATACCTTTGTCTCCTCCCATATATTTTCCCGATCCACTTTATCTATTTTTGCATACTCATTCACAAAGATGTCTAATCTCTTAGCACATGCACCAATTTGTTTTCCATAAGCGGGTTCCCATTCACCAGTAGGCAAGTCAAAATCATTAAATTCAAGCACCATAAGCTTACTTGATTGTATTGCCTTTGATGGCCCCCTACTCCTCTTCTTAGATGATGTGGCTTGCAAAGCAACATCTTGTCTTGAGGAAGTTTGCTCTTGACTTTGTTGAATGGCCATATTTATGCTCCTTGATCTAGAAGTGCCTGCATAAAACAAAAGACAGAAACTGATAGAATTAAATATCACATGAACAGAGCTATATTTTTATAGATTATAAAAGGTTTCTATCTACAAGTAAGTAACAAAGAAAGCAAATATAAATAATAAAAGCAACCTGCAGAGACATTAATTTTCAATTCTTGAAGTTATAATACCAATTAAAACAGTCAAGCTTGTGTCGCATATATAAGAACTATGTAAAATTCTATTTAATCTGTCAAAGCTCAAAAGACTAAAATCCAAGTGAAACTGGAGATTTTATAGTCATCTAATATTATTGTCTAGCATTATAGTTACAAATTAATCGAAGAATTAAAAAGAACTACAGATTGATAAAAAACGAAGCCTAGGTATCAACATATTCTCCCTCCTCATGGGCATACTCTTCATCAGCGACAATGTCTTCCCCCTCTCTTAGAGGTTGAACCCCAATAGATAGAGGCGGTGTATCATCAAATAGGTCATACTCTTCCTCATCGATAACATTTTCGACACCAAGAATTCTTCTCTTGCCTTGAACAACAACCTGTTAGTGATGATCAATGTTATCCCTTATATAGAAAATTTGTTTTGCTTGTGAAGCTAAAACAAAGGGCTCCTCCCCATCAACAAATCGACTGGAATCCACTAAAGTAAAACCAAATAGTTCATCTATCTTTTTGCCTCGCCGGTTGTCAGCCCACCTGCATCGAAAAACAGGAACTACAAAATCAACATGATTAAGCTCCCATATCTCTTGAATGTCCCCATAATATGATTGTGTTGCATTAATAGGCCTAGCATCCTTAGAGCTTGAGTATTCTGTAGAAGATGCGACAACCATAACACCACTATTTTGATGTACACTCTTATCATCTTGGCGACTAGTGTAGAAACAATACCCATTGATGTCATAGCCTTCATAAGTGTTCACAAACATTTGAGGACCCCGTGAAAGCCATCTGATCGTATCAGATAAATTATTATTCGGTTGCCCCTACTCACACTTCACTTGGTTTTGAAACCATTCAACAAAAGAATGATTATGTTTTTGCATCAAAGCATATGTACCTATTCTTGGATTCATTGTTTTCAAATAATTGAGATGAGTTTCTATATAACGATGGACTTTTGAAAGGTTTTGAAGAACATAACGATGAGCTTTCTGGATTCTATCTGATGGAGGCTTCGCAAATTGACGACCGATCGTCCCTTGCCCTTGAAGTCTGCCCTCATGACGAGATGTTGGAACTCCAATTTCTTTAGCCTTAGTTAAGAACTCAGAACAAAAGTTACTAGCCTCCTCTGCAATGGTACCTCGAATAATACTACCTTCTGGATGTGCTTTGTTGGTTGCCTTTTCTTTCAAAGTTCCCATGTGTTTCTCATAAGGGTACATCCATCTCAAAAAAATCGGGCTACATTCATTGATTTCTCGTACTAGATGGACAACCAAATGAATCATTATGTCAAAAAAATGAAGGAGGAAAATACATCTCAAATTTGCATAATGTTTCTACAACATCAGTTTGCATTTCATCAAGTTTATCTGGATCAATCACCTTGTTACATATGGCATTAAAAAATAGGCAAAGTTTAACAATAGTGTGCCTAACATGTTTTGGCAAAAGACCTCGAAGTGCAATAGGCAACATCACTTGCATCATGACATGGCAATCATGGGATTTCATATCAATTAATCTCTTATCGGCCAATGAAACTAGACGCTTAATGTTCGACGAATACCTTGTAGGTACTTTGATGCCGTACAAACACTCACAAAATATTTTTTTCTCCTCTCTAGACAATGTGTAGCAAGCTAGAGGCAAAAATGTCTTTTTTGGTTTCGTCATTTTCCACGGGCCATAACTTTGGTCGAATATTTGCAAGCTTCATGTCTTTCCGCACATCTTTAATGCCCTTTGTCTTGTTAGGTATATTCAATAATGTCCCAATGATTGAATTGCATACATTTTTTTCAATATGCATAACATCAAGACAATGTCTAACAGACAAGTGTTTCCAATAAGGAAGAATCCAAAATGTAGACACCTTTTTCCAAAGACCCGTAATAGAGGTAGGTTTACCAACTTTCCCGAAAACTGTCTCAACATCTTTGATTCTCTCCCACAACTCTATACCACTAAGTGGCTCACGCAACCACTATTTCTCCTCAGCTTTTTTCTTACGATAAGGGTGATCTCGACGAAGTAGTCGTCTAGTATGCATATAAACATCCTTTCCAAAATTCTTGAGGCGTGTCGGTTCCATTTTGTCCTCACAAATAGGGCATGGTTTTTTCCCTCTATATTTGTACCCAAACAAGTTCCCATAAGCCAGGAAATCAATTACAGTGCAAAAAATTATGGCACGCAACGTAAAATTTGTACTTGTATGGGCATCGAACATTGGAACACCTTTATCCCATAACAGTCTCAAATCCTCCAAGAGAGGCTCCAAGTAGACATCTATGTCATTACCGGGTTGTTTGGGACCCGATATTAGAAGCGACAACATGATGTACTTACGTTTCATGCATAGCCAAGGAGGCAAGTTATAAATCGACAAAAGCACCGGCCATGTGCTGTGTTGAGAGCTAAGGGTACCGTAAGGATTCATCCCGTCGGTACTTAGTGCAAGTCTCAGGTTCTTAGCCTCTTTACCAAACTCAGGAAATGTATCATCAATATGTTTCCGTTGCTTCGAATCAGCGGGATGCCTAATGTACCCATCTATCTTCCTCTCTTGTGCATGCCACACCAAGTTTTTTGCATCCTTCTTGATAGAAAAAAGTCGTTTAAACCTCGGTATTATAGGAAAATACCATAACACCTTAGCTGGTGGCCACTTCTTGCGATTGGGGTTTGAACCCTCGCGCTTGTAACGATCAACACCGCACTTTGGACAAACATCAAGGTTTTCATACTCATTTCGAAAAAGTACACAATCATTAGGACATGCATCGATCTTCGTGTACTCTAGACCTAAGGGACACAATAGCTTCTTTGCATAGTAGGTAGACTTAGGAATGTCATTCCCTTCAGGAAGCATGTCTGATAAAGCTTTTAACAACGAATTGAAACTTGTATCGGTCCAACTGTTCTTCGCTTTCAAGTTAAATAGTGTTAAAACCCCTGAAAGCTTAGAGTACTTTGCACATCCAGGATATAAAGGTGTCTCGGCGGCCTTTGACACATTTTCAAACATACGAGATTCTTCGTTCACATGATCACCCAAACCATCCATCATCTCAGGAATGTGATCCTCCTCGTAATTTTCATCGGTATCCCTTTCATTATTATCATATTGTTCTCTATTCTGCATATCAGCGTCATTGATTGATGACCTACTAGTTGTAGGAATTATTTTCTCACCGTGCCAATACCAAATGGTATAATTTGCCATGACCCCACGGCGAAATAAATGGTTTTCAACCACACCAATTTCCTTCCACTTCTTCACATTGTTGGAATCACGACAAGGGCAAAAGATTGTTTCCCTTTAGTAGTCCTCTGGTGTTCAATAGCAGTTTTACAAAATTCCTCAATCCCGTTCAAGAACTCGGGTTGAGTTTAATTTTCAACATATATCCAATCACGATTCATTTCTTACTACAAACTATAGAAAAAGCAAGCATATAACTATTATAACAAGTACATTAGAAACAAACAAAGACAATTACAATAGAACGACAACCACAGATTGTCAAATAATGCTTAATCAGTTCTGAATTTCAGCTCTGAATAAGCTTTATTTAGTGCAAAATAGTGCATGCCGGCAGATAATCTGCATAACAAACAATGCTAATTGTTAACTTCAATTCCTAGCAAAAAGTAACTGATGGCTACTAATTTTAGTATTAGCGAATTGGTCAAGTACTATCTCGTCACTCAAAACTCAAAAGGATCCAAAACTCTGATTTCAGTTCTGATTTCCAGTCTTGAATTTCAGCTTTGATTTCAGTTCTGATTTTCAGTTCTGAACTTCAGATCTGAAATTCAGCTCTGAAATCGGTTTTGAATTTTAGCACTGAAATCAGTTCTGAATTTTAGCACTGAAATCAGTTCTGAATTTCAACTCTGAAATCAACTTTGAATTTCACCTCTGAAATCAGTTCTGAATTTCAACTCTGAAACCAGTTCTGAATTTCAGCTCTAATTTTTAGTTCTAAATTTGTGCTCTCATTCCCTCTCCCCTCTATTAAAGCAATTTAAAAAGATTTAACCTGACACAAGATCATCAGATTCTACAAGGTAGACGCATCATGAAAGAGAATGTCAATGCATAATTAGATATAGGAACAAATCTTCAAAAGGAAATAATAGCTATCATCTCAAACATCAGTAATCACAATTCAAGACTAAGAACAATGACAACACACAAACTAATAACAACAATTATAGAGTTTTAATTTCTTTAATTACTCGGAGTCTGACACGCAAAGCAAAAAATACATCTATTTCCTATCATTCCAATAATAATGAAAACAACAATGACCTGCTCAACAGGACATATCGGTGAAGAACCAAGATGCTAACAATAGAATAACATAATTGCCTGGGTGCATATTAATTATTAAAACAATGAGAACCAAAATAATCACACCTTTTAAACCAGAAAACTAGAAATAACAAGATCAATAATCTCAGAACAAAAGAAAAGTTTGTTTAACATTATATGAATTATCAACAATAATAAGTTCAAGATCGCACATAAAAATAAGCTCTGAATTTAGTTCTGAATTTTTTCTTATCATGTGTCTACATTGAAAAATCGAGTTTTGGATGATTGTTAATTTGGAGCTAATAAGCACACAAACAAACAAAAAAAACGTTAGATAATTGCTAAAATGGAGCAAGTAAGTACACAAGTAAACAAACAAATACTTCTGCTACATACAATAGTTTGGATGAAAAAAGAAAAACAAACAAACATCCAATAAATCAGGACAAAAGCGACATTAAAACTATAGTTGTGCTTGAATTTTGCAATTATTTTGGGTGGTTTGGTACTTTTGTTAATCATTTGATTTGTACCTTCCTTAAAATAAGGCGTTTTTATTTATTAAGATTGCTTTGTTTATTCCATTTCAATGCTTTAATCTCCATATCTTTTAATTCTGTCGCCAGTTATGTGGCTTTCAGATTTGATAAAGAAACTTATATTATAATTACATTAATTAATCAGAGTATTAATGGTATTGATGAAGAGTTTCATGATCACATGCAGATGCAGTAAACTTTAATCAAGTGTACGAAGTACGTATAAATAATGAATTAAAGTATACTACTTCGTATATAATTATCATATTATTTCACTCTAAATTAGTAAGTGAATAGCTCAATGCTACCTTGCACAAAACATTCAATAAGGAATCAAGAAAAATGAAAAAAGTGGTTTCTATAGCAGGATATGGGGTATAGGGTATTGTAAAAGGCAGCTAAACTGATATAGGCAAATAGCAACCATGAACATCAGTCATAGTGAAAAGAAAAGGCATAACTGGTTTAATACACACATTAGCATCATATCATGAATATTATACCGAGTAAAGTAAATAGGAACTACAATTACAACACAACAACAACCACAACAGCGTTCAACAACAAAATTCAATTTGAATTGGAAGACTATTCAATTCGAATTTTAGGGCTTTACTGAATTCAGAAAAGAGATAATTACAAGAACACTAATTCAAAAATTACATACACCTCAATTGAAGTAATATTGCTGAACCCAAAATTCGAAAATTAGCCAAAAAAATCATGGCAGAAGCTGTAGGTTGAAGACGTTCGTTGTTATGGTGAAGTACTTGCCAAGAACAAAATTGAATTTATTTAGACAACTAATCAACAACAAAATTCAATTCGAAGTGGAAGACTATAATTGAATTAAGAAAGGGAAATACTAGAACCCTAATTCGAAAATCATACCTTAATAGAACCACTAACGTTGAACCCCAATTCGAAAAAACCAAAATAATGTTGATTAGAGTGATTGGAGCGAACGAAAAATTGCAGAAGGAACCGAGGAAGAAGCTATGGAGGAGTTTTCTCCATGAAAATTAAGGTTCAGTGGCGCGAAAGTGAAACTAATGGAACCAAATTAAAAGTGAAAATAAAAATTTTTAACTCTTTTTTTTGTTTTCAATCATCAATAGTACTTGTCAAATAAAAAATAATCAATAATAGTAGTAACTTTATACTTGTAACCAACATTTGTAGTTAGTTACAAACATATAAAGTCTAAATTTTTTTGACCTGATATTTGTAACTAGCATTTGTAAGCGGATTTTTTTTCCAAATTGAGCTTTATTGGTAAATTATTTACCAAATTGGTTTCGTGGGAAAAGTATTTCTCAAACTAAGCTTTTGGGGTGAAACGCTGTCTCGGACAGCGTTTTACACCCAGTTTTTTTTTTTAAAAAAAATTCAAGAAGTAAAACGCTGTCCGAGACAACGTTCGTGTATTTTGTTATTAGAAAGAGGTACGAGATATCCAAGTAAGTACTTTAATTGTTTAATTGATATTATGATATAGAAATCATGTCTAGGTTGTTACTTTGATTCCTAGTATCATGTTAGGATGCTTTTCTTAATTTGATGTTTAGGGTGACAACAATAAGTTCCTAGTATCATGTTTAGGGTAAAGAATATAATGATAACTATGATTTCTATGATGCCTTTTATTGTCTTTCCTAATATCCATGTTAGTATCTTGTTAGGGCTATATATTTGATCTTTGATTCTTAGGGACATGCTAGGGTTTGTTATTAATCTTGTTAGTACCATGCCTAGGATCTTGCTATTATGCTTTAACATGATTATTGATTATAATTATGATTATTATTATGATTATTGTTATTATGATTGATGTTGCTTGATATATTTATTGTTATTGTTTGATCACGCCTTTTATGCATTAATGGGAATTTGTACTTGTAATCACGCTTAATAAGATAACTAATAATCTTGTTTAGAGTTAATTCGATTATGATTCAAGTGATCGCCAATAATAGTTTTATTTTATGCATTAAATATTCAACCAACATAGATAAATAGGTTTAGGGTTAATCTATTGATTGCATGTTAGTTAGAAAGCGCACATGAATACGAGAAGAATAAAGTAGAGGCCTATTATTAGGGAAGGTTCAATCTCTTTTAGGTTAGATTTGTACCTTCATCCGCAAACTTCTAGTCTTGGTTCTAGACCTATTGGAGTTAACGATCTCTTGGATCGTTAAGGGGTGTAACCTTCACCCTGTGAACGGTTTACAAGTTCCTAAAACTTGTTGGCGACTCTTTTGCTGTAGCTTCCTCCCCTTTGGACGCCATCATGCTTAAGTGTATGATCACAGTGGGGTTCAAGTTTGGGGTAATGCTTGACATATTCCCTACAGTTTTTGGCGACTCCACTGGGGAGGATTTTTATTTTAATTCTTGAAATTTATTTCGGCAATGATTTAGAATGAGTGGATGAGAATCGAAAAGTTCTAAGTATTTCATGTGTGTAATTTTGATTAACATTATTATCATATGCATAAAAAAGGTTCTCATTGGAAAGACCATCCGTAATGAGTAAAAAACATAGGATTTTCACACGTAGGAAATTTGAGAAATATCTTTCACAACTAGAATCGAAATAACGTTGTGAAAAACTAGAAAATTTAAGAATACAAAAAGCTACTAAGGCATGTAGGAACTGGCGTCTAGAAAACAGAGCATGTCGCCGAAGATATGGCTCTGTCGTCGATCGACAATTCTGTCGCCTGGCGACAGTCCCTATTGGTTGGCGTTGCGTTCTTCCAATACCGAGCCAGAAATATGAGTTCTTTTTTCGACTAGTTCTAGCACTATTGGCTCGGTTCTACTTCCTGATTGAGTTTTTCTCACTTTTCTGAAACCCATATGTGTTCTACATATGGACATAACCCTCTGGGAATTTATGCTCTATGTACCTAATTGAACGCTTTGAGCAATAAAGGGTACATCCGAGAATGTTTAATTCACCAAACCATGGAAGCAAGTTTAACTCGCGAGGTCCCATCCACTCACGCCAACCCTTCCAAAGTTAAGGCTTCCGCGCGGTGCATTCGGACTCATAACCATGGACCCTCTTTGACTAACCCATATCCTTAACTTTAGAGAACTAGAGCCATAGTTAGGTTGCAAACTCATTGCATCATGTTTTGACTACTTGACTACTTGTGCATCTCTTACTTGTGCATACTTATTATGTGACTAAACTAACCTTTTGGTTTGACTTGTGTTTATAAATAAGTCTTAATAAACTAACCAATGACTAAAGGGCTTTGCTTTATTAATTAATTAATTAATTTGATCTAATAAATATGTCCAAAACCGAGTCATAGTTTCTTTAAGTCAACCCGGATTTTTATTCCCGTA